GGGGGCATGCCCCCGGACCCCCCTAGCTGTGACTAGAACTATGGAAACCGGTCACCCAAACCCTCTGGATCCGACAGCGCAACGGTAACAGATTTTAACCGGCACGCCATGACAAATATGTCTGACTTACCTACAGGCACGCCACGACGAATACGGCTGACTCACCTATTGGAAAATGTGCACAGATGATGCAGACGAGTCGAAAGCCGATGTACAGGTTCCGAGGATCCTTTTCCCCGTCTAGGACTTGTATGAATCCAAAAACAAAATCGGCCCCCAGCGGCAACACATCTGTGTGTAGGAAAAATATTGGCATAATCTAATAGTAAACACAGAATGAATGTAATTCACATACGCTTAAAGAACTATGTGCACAGGGACACATTCACAATGGAGGGAACAGGGTGGTTCAGTGAAGGATAAGAATGTAGAGGTCAAATTTAGAGAAAAGCTGCTCATTTTCCTCTGGAAAAGTGACCAGCATAATGATAATGTTTGTCAGTGGTCAATTGTTCACCATCACGCTACTCAAAATATGAGCTTGCAAAAGTTAAAAGGTTTGTTTAAAGGGACACGATGAAAAAAATTGTTAAAAATTCGTTCGAGGGATATTTTTTGTTCGTTCAAACTTTGAAAAATAGTTTTTCACTCATCTCCCTTTAAAAACACTGTACTTTATAGCACCATTCCCAAAAATGAGTAAATCTAACTCGTGAAAATAGAGAATTACCCGTATAAAGATAACACACACTATCGATGCATTGCTTTTGACTGTTATACTCTAACCTGTAAGCCTGTGATCCAGCAGTGTTGCAATCGTTGAAAATACGGCACGCCTGTCAGCCTGCATGTGTGCTTGTACTTGAACCTCCTTAAATATTCCCCTTAGCAGACTCGCAATGTCCTCTTCCAATAGATTTTTACACCCACTCTGAAACAGGCCATAATTAGCAAGATACCAAAATCAATTTCTGGAACAATATCAATCGTGTACGTGAAAAGTTTAAGAAAGCTAGACCAGCAATCATCGGCAAAGCTAATTATTTAGAGCTATATTTTTATTCTCGGTAGATGCAGCCGCTCATGCTAATCCATGCCAAATTCTGATGTCACGAGACAAACAGACGAAACAACAAAGCTGTTGTCATAGTTACGAAGTAACAAGTACAAGTATCAAACAGACTTTCGTTAGAAATTACTGCTAATTCAATAGTCACAATGTATGCTGTTGCTACTGGCAACAACTCAACTCACAACCACCTTCTACACTTACCGATGCTAGCAGTCCGCGCAATACATGTGGTATCACCGAGTGATGATCTTTGAGTCTGTCCACAAGGAAGGTTACCAGAACACCAACTAGATAAAAAGATGCAATAATGAAAATTACGAGTGTTATGGCACATTACTCGCACAACATAATTAAAGGGGTGTGACAACAATACCACTATTACAACTTCGAATATTGCCTAGCCTACTGATTAGACAGGTTTCTGTTGTTGTTGTTGTTTTCGGTTTCTTTATTTTATACTGGACTCCAAGGGTTTAATTCCACATCAGTGGAAACCCACTCCAGGAATCTGGCTCGGTCCAGTTTTGGCAGCTCTCACGCTTGTTCTCCATGTGACACGATCCAAGGGGTCTACAGCGTTCATTTCTCATACTAGGGGGTACAGAATATGCCCCTTGTTAGCTACACACTATGAGTACGTGCATTGAGCATATATCTGCACACCTCTTTCTTCACTGCTTGCCAGATGGAAGGTAGAAATGGCTTGAGACTTTCAGCTCCATATGGCTCTGCACACTCCGCCTGAAAAGCAAGCACTCCACTGTGTATACCGACCTATTTACCAGTAACGCAGTTTTATAGTTACCTATATATGTATATATGTATATACGTACATATATAATATACGTACATGTATGTATGTATGTATGTATGTATATTATATACCGACATGTTTATGAGTATAACCCCTTGACATTTTACATTCACGGCCATCGAGATCAGATGCTACTTGCAAATATATCAGTAGGAAAATAAACTGACCCTGTTCAAGGGAGAGGAAGATATAAATTCCCGCAAAATAATTTTGGTCTGCCTACCCGTTGGCTGCAAAAACTCACCTGCAATGCCCCCTACGCTACCTCATATATACCTACCCCTCGCCTCTTGATTAGTGCCCCCCCCCAGGTAACCCCACAGCTCCCGCTGGGTGGATGGGGGGGGGGGTATCTTCCACACTGGGAATCTCCTATAAATGATACCTCCCCCCCCCCACTGACGTGTGTAACGCGGTATAAACTACGAGAGTACTGCATACCAGCATCATCACCTAAGGTAATCTCTTATAGACAATTTACCTGCCTGACACTGAAATGCATAATGCGGTATAAACTACGAGACTATACTGCATACCAGCGTCATCACCTAAGATAATCTCTTATAGACAATACCTGCTGGACACTGACACGCATAATGCGGTATAAACTACGAGAGTACTGCATACCAGCGTCAGGAGAGAGTCAATCTTCGCCGACTGCATGTCGGATGACAGCTTGTCCAGGAGTAGCGGGAGGCAGTAGGGAGCGAAGCCGGGATACGCCGCCAGAGAGCTGCGCAGCATCAGTACCAGGTCATCCTTCTTCACAGCATACGGGTCTGTAGCTGGCTGCAAGCACAATATAGGTACGAGCGGCTCAATATTCCTGTTCAAATGAAGGGGTTATTGCGAAATTATTGCTCAGAAACGCTCAATCTAAAAAAAATATAGCTAAATATAGTCTCACCTCACAGCGGATATATTACTGATTACACCAATTTGAAAAACACTAAGAATTTATGCAGTTATAGCATAGAAAATTGGATTCGAATACATTATAATATCATGGCATATTTGATTATGGCGACAATAACTTTGCAAATGGCACATGGAGAATATATCTAAGTACGAAGGTTCTAAGACATTTTTTCATTACTTTAGACAGTTTCTGTTACTCAAGCGATATATAAGGATATAGGCGCTGTTATAACGATAAGTGTCATAAAAGTGGGGAAAACACGATATTATGTTCGAAATAAATACTTTAAGTCACAAGGACGCGTATGTGTTGTCAATGATTGCAGGGTGGTACTTACAGGCGTGTAGTCGATGGGAAAGTAACAGGAGACGACTTCAAACAGGTCCTCTGAGAAGTTTTCTGTAGACAAAGAGTAATCAATCAAAAAGTGAAACCACACTATCGAGGAGAGCATGCACATTCACCGGTTGCTTACACGTGTGCGCAGGAGGAGAACCCAGTGGGGCTAAAAACCTAAGTGTGTTTTCTCGAAACATTCAGCATTAAATTCAAAGTTGAGAAACTACACGTAAATCAGTAGACATCAGAACTATGACAGTAGCAATAGTCACATTTCTACCAAACTTGGCATAGACAGCGCAACGCAGGCGCGGATTTAGGCCGGTTTGCACCGATTTCCAGAAACCGGTCACAGGCTGGGTATCTTCAGAAT